GAAATGTGGCCCAGTGCACCTCTGTACCTGTCTCTGTGACAGCATTTGATCTCTTTTTTCCCTCTACTCTGAGGATTAGTCACATTTTAAGGGCTCCTTTACAGCTGAGAAAACGAATACCTTCATTCTTCTGAGCTTTTAAACCTTAAGGCAGAGATATTTGTGTCTTTTATTCTCAGTGGCCTTGCTGTTCCACTGGTCTGCAGCATATGTGCATGTGTAGTGTATGATGTAGGAAGACACCAATCCAAGATGAAGGGTTCTTATGTCCTACTGTAGTGCATCTTGGTTACCACAGCCTGCCTTTATCCCAATTGCTCCTGCTTCTTCTTTTGACATTTGAGAGGAATGGGCTAGAATGGAGCTCAAGGTTTTGTTGAGATATTGTCCCTTATTTAGCTCTTGTTAATTGTCTGTTAGAGGTGCAGTGATCTGCCAGAAAACAGGTTACAGAGAGGGAAGCATAAGTGATTTTATCTTGAATTTAGCAAAAGCTTTGAGACAGAGATACAAAACAGAGTTAGAAACTTGGAACATGTTTTAGTGTTTTCTAAACAGAACATTCAATTTCAAAACCACTGAAAAGTCAATCACCCCAAATGTTATTAAGCAAAATAATAATTTTGTTTTGAAAGTGATTACTTTGTTGTGAAAACCCAACATATATGGTGTTTTTTACAAAATCCAAAATTTAACATAGTTGCTTTAATTAAAACTGGCATTTTGTATTTTTTTTCCATGTTCTTATGACAATAAGGATACTTTGCATTGTGTAAGGCTGCTTTGGATATTTGCATTAATCCAAAATTTTTGTAGTTCAGCTAAATAGCCAAGAGACCTATGGCTTGTACATCTTGGCTTTCGGCCCTGTTCCAAGTGCATTTATCATGTGTTTAGGTGGCATTATTCCCATCTTTTCCACTTCATGATTGTATTGCTGATGAGCATTTTTCTCAGAGCAGTAAAATACTCACCTCTTGCTTATGCCAAATTGTTTCAATATGCTGACTGGCAAGCAACCTTCTCCTGCTTGTGTAGTTGGAGCTCAGAGATACCTGCCTAGAGCCAGGTGGGTGGGAGAAGAGCTACAGTTTTCCTTCATGCTGCTCACAGGTGGACTGGGACACGCAGTGTATTTAACTTCCTATGTAGGATGAGGTGTCTGCCATCTTCTCTAAGGGGATGTGCTCACACACAGAGTCCTCACAGAAACACTCAAGAGTTAGCAAAGCCTAGGAAGGTCACATGGACATGGTACCTGTGTTCCTCCATACAACCCAGAGGAGTTTGAGAGGTCTCACTGCTTAAACCACAGAGTGCATTTTAAAATTGTGCTTCAGATCACCATTCCCATGACTCCCACTGGCATCCTGAGAGCCAGTGAAATAGTTTGTGCTGCCAGAGGCAAAAAGACAGGGTGTAAGGAAAGCACAATGGCTTTTTTACAAAATATTTGCCTGATTTCACACCCATCTAACATCAGAAAATAAATTTCTAATTCAAATACATATTAAATATTCTATACTTAAAAATCCCCCCTGTTCCGTTAAGCCAGTGTCAAATCTCAGTGGAAGCAGGCTTTGTGTTGCTTTTTAAGAGTCCACACAGCTGCACTTCTAAATTACACCATTTTTCATGTGAGTAGGTGCTGTCAGCAGGATACTCAGAAATTGTGGGCTGAGCAGATTGCTTTATTTTCAGCTTAATAAAACTCTTGCTATAACTAATAAATTGGTTTTTGTGGATTTTTAGTGGAGCAAAGTGATCCCACTTATCTTTCTTAGCAAGCTGTTCCTTTGCCTTAGCAAAGGAGGACAAGTATTTGGCAGGGGCAACTACAGAGCTGCCAAGGGCTCCAGGTCAGAGCTGGAGCTGAGGAGCTGTGGACTGTTGCAGCAGTGCCTGAGGCAAGACAAAAATTTTGATTTGAAAGATTTTTCAAACATAGGCTTTTTCATGTGCAGAATTCTAGGTAAAAGAAGAAGGGTGAGAGGGAAGTGAGCCTTCCTAGGTGGCATGGCTGTGGTGTTCAGGTATCTCTCGGCTTTCTGGGACAAAGACTCTCTTTTTCTTGTGTGTTTTTCAATCTCACATGAAGGTAAAGTCCTCCTTTGGCTGTCTCAGCACCAGTTCATGGGTAATATGTAATGACAGTAAATTTAGCAAGTGTGCAGTCTGTCATCAGCCTGACACAGGGAGTCTTGCATCCTATTTGCCATAGGTGTTACAAAACTGTACTTAAAATGGCAATTGGAAAACAAAGAGTTTCCAAAATGGTTTTTCACTTTTTCTGCTCTGATCCCTGACTACCTCTGGGAAAGGGGAATGTGTAAAGATGCCCTCTATGTATTTTATCTTTGTTTCCCAGCCGTAGCACCTGGAAGTGTGAGCACAGTGAGTGCTGCCTGATTGTTTTCCTCACATGAGCAATGCTTGGGGCCATGGTAATCTTTCTTTCATTCTGTCCAAAAATCAACTGCTCTCCTTTTGCAGGCACATGCTCTTTGGCCAATTACTCACAACCGGTCACCCAGCTTTCCCCAGTTACTGGTATGTTTTGAACAAACACAGATGAGGGGAAGTATGAGACACCATATTAAAATGCTTCCTGCCCAGGCCCTCAAAGAAAGGTCCCTGTACAAATGCTTGACATGCACATCATATTCGACCTTTGATCATCTGTCATTTTGTTGTAAGAAGCATGCCATCATTTGCCACCGTTTAAAATAGACCCAAAGGAAGTCAAGGCTTAATCTTAACCTCAAACACATTGAGCCCTGTATTTCCTACCCAGCTATACACCGTGCTATCTGGTTTCCTACACTTCAGGCCTGCTAAGATTAGTTCCTCCCAACCAGCTGCTAAGAAGGAAGGGAAACTGTGTTCACAGTGGATAAAACATTCGCTGTCCACAGCTCTTTCAGCTCCTCACCAGCCTTTGCATCCGGGTCCTTTAAATAGTAGACAAAAATACAATTTTGCGGTTTCTCAGTTTAAAAAAATTAAAAAAATATTGAATTATGTTCCTTCTTTCTCTTTGTCCTGTGGGTTCATGCCATGCTTTCTTGGGCTTCTCTCTAGGGAGAGCATTCTTACTTGCATGCATGGGATAATAATTTATCAGTTATGAATATCACGTGGTTAAACCATTGCTAAATTCAACATTTGAGTGTTATGCATCAATTAATATTACATAAAACTGAGTACACTCACTCATGTCTCTGATCTTATAAAGGGAATGAATTAATAGGAATATATAAAAGAAGCTGCATAAAATAGCAGTGAAAATGGATGTATTTTCCCTTTTTATTAGAATAATTCCTTGTCCATTTACTTCAGACAAACAGATTTTTATCATGGGGGAGCTGGTTGATTTCTTTCTTTGGAGGTAGTGTCTTGAGCCCTGCTATGAAAGCCACAGACCTCTTTTAATAAAGTGTCTTATGGGGACCTTAAATATTAACTCAATTGCTTTTCCCCCTTAACTATTAGTAGAATCATGATAATTTTGGTGTAACTGTGCCCACTGGATTACTGCACCATGTCTGGCAGCCACATGCCATAACACAAGGGTGGTTCAGCATCCATGAGCTGGAGCTGGCTGTCTAGGGAGGATTCAGCAAGTGTGTACCCTTGCTGGACAGGGATGTATTTTCCCAGTGACAGAAAGGAATTTTGATTTTGGATGATTTACAAAGCAAAAGTCTTACCAGCATTACATTTCCACGAAACCTACAGGACTGGGAAAATTCACTCTTTGTGCTGTCTGATTCTACTGAACATTGGTTTAATACTCCCTTTCCATTGTGTTCACAGATCTCCAGCATTTCAAATCATAGAAGGAAAAAATCCTCTGAAGGAACTGATTTATAACACCATTACATGAGGCAGAAGAGGTTGAAACACCATTGCAAGAGGCAGAAGGGCCTTGAGGACCTTTTTCAGTGTTTGTAGGGAGGTGCTGTTTTCCTTTCCAGAGTTGCATATAGTTTTATCTGAGTTGTTCTGATGTTTACATAACATTATATCCTTTCACTCCTTCTCAGTCCTTGCTTTTGAATGGCAGCACTTACAGTTTTTAAAATTTGGTATCAGGATCCACTTCTCTTAGCACCATGGTGAATAAAAACATGTTTACATCAAATAATCCAGTTGAACCCAGAAAACAATAGGCTTCTGTAGAATACTGATTTACAATAAGAAAAGAAATGATAACTTCATTAACCTTCAAACAGGATGGGAAACATCCTGCATTTTTATTACATGGATATATCTTATTGCTCCCCACTGTTCCACCATGTAAGTCTTTTCTCATTTTAAAATGGGATGATTTTTAAATTTCAACTTTCACATTTCCAATTAGAGGCAGATTTGACCTGGTGTCTTCACATGTTAAAATGAAGCAATTAATATGTGCAGGAAAAGCAAAATATGAAGTTAGGACAGAACATTGTCCTACATATAAGGGCAGAAAATGCACAGGATAGGGATGTAAAGCAAATGCTTAACAAAAAATTGTCTCAAACATGTAATTGAATTCATGTAATCTGGCCATGGAGACAGTATTACTGTATTAGTCTGCTCAGAGATGGCTGAAAATGTAAGAAAAATACCTACATGCTAATGGCTCCAGAAACCACTCTAACACATCTCTGTCCAGTCAGGACTGGTTAATACAAAATTCAAAGCTGAAAGTCCTTCTGAGCCAAAAGAGATTTCTGTGACAAGGAAGATATTCTCACTGGTTTATTGCAAAGTACAGTAATACTCAGTCTAGTTAAGGATGGCCAAACATTCGAGATAAAGGAGCTTCAATATATGTTTGTTCCAGGCCCATCTGTGTTAGTAGCAGCATCTCAGTGATGCTCCCCTGTTACTGTAGACTCGGAGAACGGTTTATTATCCTTGTGTAATTCTAAAGGTACCTTACCGTAGGTCTGCAATAACACCTTTGTTTTTTATCAGTAATCTTAGCACTTTATTTGTATTTCACTTAATAGGTTCAGGAGCAGGCGGCTCCATTCTCCAGAAAAACTGATCTGCAGGAAAGCCCAAATCCATCCATTTGTCTGTCATGTGTTGAGCAAATAGTGCTGACACCAGGAAATGTGCAGCACTTGACACGTGTGTTCTGTAGGTGTGTGGCTGCAGCCACCAGGCATCGCGCGCAGCCAGCGCCTTGGGGTGCTGGCACCATCCTGACACATAGTCCTAGGGAACTGGAAAGAGGATAAACCACTATAAAAAGCATATAATCACTTCTTAATGTGCATAAATATATACATTAGTGAAAACTTAAAAATATTACTATCACAGGCTTGCGTGTTGTTTAAGCAACTTTTTTAGATGTAAATAAGTTTTAAGCTATTTTAAGATAGCAGTGTTTCTTAGAATCATAGTACATACTTTGAAGGTACCTGAGCAGGTTGACTGGCAAGTCGTTCTTCCAACTGCTATTTCCTCTGTAACAGGAGACCAGCACGGTGTCCTCTGCCCTCAGACGAAGGGGCAGTTTGGCAAACTGGAGCAGAAGGAGACTCCTGGACGTGGGCAGGAGTTAGGTGACCTGCTGGAGAGATGGAGTGAGGTGAGAGCAAAGGAGGGAAGGGGCTGGTGATTCATGGCCATCTAAGGAGACAGATTGATGGCAGACCAAGTTGTGAAGGGAGATGCTAGGAACAGTCACTTAACATGGCAAGTTTAGCCTTACTTAGCTTGTGTGGCTGCATAGCCAGGATGTGCAGACTCTGCTGTCAGAACCAGGCTGTTGGCACAAGTGGCTGCTCAGGTCCCCCTGCCATGAAAATGCAGGTAGAGGCTGCAAGTCTTCAGCTCAGCATGTCCTACAGCCATTCATGGGGCAGAACAGCCTAGTCAGTAGCAAAGCTCCCAATCTGGTTCTGAGGGGAGGCAAGCACACAGTGGCTGGTATAAGCATGGCTCTGGCTGAAAGGACACATTTCCAAAACAAAGTTTGAGAAAAATCCATATATAAATCAGTTCCTTCAGGAGTTTTAGGAGAATGCTGAATATTTGGTTTACTGAGACATCACCTCCTGTCTCTGCTCTTCTGCTCACAGCTCAGCTGTTACTCCTCTTTCCAGGTCCTTCAGCCATTCTCCACATTGTTTCACTATATGAGGAGAAGAAAATCTCGCATCAAGATGCCTTAACCGTCATCCTGCTGTCTACATCCTCCTTGGAAACCTGCCCTGATTGTCAAACACAGTTTCAGGTAGGCTGGAATGAGCCAGGGCCTCTGCCTTGCTGAGCATTCTTCCAGTTTTGCCACTTCCTGCAGCACTGGTATTTTGGTTGGTGTTTGCACCCTGCAGCCAGATCACCACCATGGATGGCATGAGGATTCACCTGCAGGACTCTGGCACTCAAGGAGGTTCTCACAGAGACCACAGAGTGATCTTCAGAGCTGGAAAAGGCATGGCAAAATATTTTTGGGACCTCTGTAGAGAGTGATGTGAAACACTTATGTGAGTACAGCATTTAGCTACCCTTTAGGGAAAAACCATGAGTGAGATCTGATGGCAGGGTGATATCCTGACATCACACTGATGAGCTACTGTGCACATTGCACGACATCCGTGCAGAGCCTTGAGCAATGGATGACTAAGTATCATCTGATTCTGTTATTAAAAAGTAGGTGAATGTGTGCATTTCACTAAGGAAGGAAATTATGAAATTGGGGTGGCATACTTGGAAAGAACTCCATTTCAAAACCCTTTTTTCCTTTTCAAGGCAAAGGAGTCACTGCTAACAACTTTGGGTGGGGTTTGAGAAAGACAAAATTATAGGAAAGCAACCCTTTGCTCTTAAGTATTTTGGAGTTAGGATAGTGAGATAGTGACAGAAATTTCATTGTGCACGTTTCCAGTGTAGAGCTACGGAGCGGGCAGATGATTTCCTGCTGCCTTTAACAAGGATTGTGTAACTTCTTGAACTCAGACGCATGCCTTGTTCTGCTCTGAATTTAGAAATCAAGCATTGCTCCCAGCAATGACTTTTTAAAAAATTGATTTTCTTAATGTAAATCATCTTCTAAGGTGACCTAGGGTAAGGCAAATCAATACAGGACTGCTGGAAGCAACTCTCGCTCTCAGCAGAAATGCCAATGCCGGAGCTAAGCAGCCCTGGCCAAGCCCAGCCTGTGGCAGCCTGGTCTGCACACAGCCCCAGCTCATCCTGGCCCTGGGGAGTTGCTGGCCCTTAGCCCCTTCAAGTAGGTAACATGGAGGCTGATTTGACCCCATGGATGTCCTTCATTTGTACCAAAGTATCAGGCTCTCAGGGAGATGCTGCAGATCATCTCACCAGGTTGTTTTGTGAGATGGGATCCCTCGGACCCCTGAGCAGGACTAATGGTCTTCGATTAGTCTGTAGCACCACGAAATCCAGGGGATTGCAGGCTGAGCAGTCTGGTTCAGATGGTGTATTGAGCACCATGAATGGCCATCACTCATCAAAGCTTATTGCTCTCTGTTATTTTAAATAAGTGCAGGCAAAAGAGGAGCTTTTGTTGCTTTAATGCAATTGTGATCATATATGCAGGCTAAACTTCATTATGGTTTGAAATATTCCTGTGAAAAACACAGGAAATAACAGAAATGCAAAATAAACTCAAGAAACTTGAGATAGCCCATGCATCACTGTAATTTCCATTATTTCCTGGGTTTGACTAGCTCAGAAATACTGCAGGAAGTGCTTTTTCTTGTGGTATTTTTTGCTTCCTCTCCCAGAAGAGTGGAAATGTTACACAACGGCATGTGAAAATGAGAGAGGGACCCACACTGTCGGTGGGCTGGGTCATGGGAGCACTGGATTTCTGCTTTCCTTGGCTGTTGCCAGCTCAGCAGTCAAGGGGCAAGGGCTGGCATAGCAGCACTCCAGCTCTTCAACAGCCAGGAAAGCCTTAGTCCCTTTTGGGAAGGTTGACCAGGGCTCTGGGAAGGTGGGCTAGGAGCAGGGACAGGAGCACTGGTTGTCACTGGCATCACTTCTCTCTCCTTGTTACTTGATGCCTGCAGAGGCATCCTGATCAGATCAACCTGAGGTGTCACTTTGCAGCTTTAGGGCAGTTTTTACTGTATCTGAATGAATCTGTCCAAAACCTGCCCACAGCTTAATAAATGCTTGTAAGGTTTAACCAGTTCCTTGTGCTTTATTGTTTTGAGACATTTTGAGGTCTCATTTAAAGATATGAAATGCCTTTGACCTTTCTTCAGCTAGCTCTGCACACTGAACAGCCTGGTGAGTTTATGCATTAAATCCTGCATTAAAGCTCTGCTGATAACATTATGCTTATTAAATAATACAAACAATTTTCTTGTTTGCCAAACAGTGGGAATCCCTAGTGCACACTGGGGAGGCATGAACTATAAAAGCCTCTATTCTTTTTTAATTAGGCCATATCTAATTAAAACTATTGCCTGCCATTACTGGCATTTATAAAGTGTTTTCCAACTCAGCATGACTCAGGGGGCTGTATGGATTGCACTGCAATCTATTTGGGATGTGTTTGCCTGGGCTGTGCAATTGTCCTTTATCATCATAGGCAGGCAGTGTTTGCCTGAATTATTATTTAGTGTGTGTTGCCAGCTGTCTAGGCCTCTATGGTTCCTCCTATAAATGAAATTATTAGCCTGTTTTGCATACATATGAAATCTGGACTTAAGATGCAGTTTAGGGCTCTGAATGGACAAATTAATTTGAAGGTAGAACTGGGGACTCTAGAAGTCACTGACAAGGAATTTAACAACTTGAGGTGCCAGGCTAGTTTGGTCATCAGCTATTGCAATCAGTGTGGAAGCACCAGCAGCCTTTCTATGCATCTGGGTGGGAACAGGAACCATTGTCTGCACTTCAAGCAGCCTCCTTGAGCTCAGCCCACAAAGAGAGTGACTGTTTTGGAGGGAGGCAAAGAGCCCCTGGCCATTACAGGGTGTAGGGTGGCCTTGGCAATACCATTAAAGCCAAGGTTAGCCAGCAAAACTCACTGGAGAGGAGGCTGGTGTTCCCTCTGCGGAGACAGCGACCAAGAGAGATGGGAAGAGGTGGTGGGCTGGGGTGGGCAGAGGTTTTGCCTATATTTGCCTGGAGACCAAAAATAAGCTTGGAGAGAGCGTGGGGTGTGGCAGAGTGTGCCTGGGGGGAGCCAGGCGGGAGGGAACCAGCCAGGCGGGTTCAGGGGCGCTCTGCAGGCAGCTCCCTGCTGGCTCAGGGGTGAAGGATGGGGCCTGGACTGGAGCAAGGGGATGCTCAGCACCTAGGTGAGCACACAAGCTGCCTGTGGATATGAGGGTTGTTGCTGCAAGCTAAGCTGTGGGGCCTGGAGGGTTTGTGGTGGTTTGGGGGATCTTGATTTGAAAGATGCAAGTAATGTGGGAGTGCACGGAAACCCTAGGGCTGCTCCCCTTCTCTCCCACAGCCCCCTGCTTCATCCCCTCCCGTGTAACCCTTCAGCTCTGGGCTCCCTGGGTGGTGTTACAGCACGTTGGGTATGAGAGCTGGTGGAGATGTGCAGTTGGAATCAATGATCCTGCAGATGCACTTGATTTTATGGCTGGACTCAATAACCTTTAAGGGTCTTTTTAAACCTAAGTGATTTTTTGATTCTATGTGAGGGACAAGAAGCAGGTGAGGACCAGGCAGCAGGATGCTGAGTGGGGAGATACAGTGGCAGTTGCTGATGGAGCAGCTTAAAGGAAAAGGCTCAGCTCTGCAAATTACAGCTTTTACAGGTGAGCTGAAGCTGTTGCTGTGTCAGTGCGAGGTTTGCAATCGTATTTCGGGTCTTTCAGCTCTTGTTCTCTCAGTTTCACAGCTAGTGTTTTTTGTATGTTTTTCTTCCAAGAGTTATAATGGTATGTGAAATACAGGTATGATACTGTTACTGTCTTTCCTTTAAGCCTGTAAATCCCAAGTAAGACATGACAAGTTGTGGAATTAGGTTGAAATTAAAATCTTACAGTGTAAGTGTAAGTTTTCAGTGTAGGCTTGGCCATCTGAGATTATAACACTTTTATTCTGAATGCTGTACTGAATACAAAGTAAGAATTAATACCTCCTCTGTGAGCTGGTAATCTAAAAGGCAGTGCCTTTAAAAAGAAGGGTAATATTTTCAGCTTTATTTTGTAGGTGAGGAACTGGGACACAGAAAATCAAATGGCTCCCATGTCATGCAGGCTAGGAATTAACGTGTGTCTTGAATTTCCAGTTTCCTCTTAACCACAAACACAAATTTTCTCTCTGCACAGGGATGGTTTTTCCTGGATTTTAAAACATTTCTTAAATGAAGTGCTACAATAATTTAGAACTCTGTCTGTGTTATGATTGCTCCCTAGATGCTCAGATAACTAGCTTTATGGCTACAGCCTTTTCTTCTCCTGTTGTGGATCAAAATATAAATTTTCTTACCTTGTACCAGATAGTCTTTGCTACAAGTACTTCCTTTCTTCATTTTACCTTGAAGAACAGTTGCATACATCATCCAGATATGACCTGCACACAATTTCTGATGGTAAAACAACAATAATGAAATTGCCTGTCTCTTTTTCCTGCAGACAAATGCTGTTTTGATTAATGTGAACACAATTATTCATCATTTGTCACTCCACTGGCTTTTATGGATCATTCTTCTGGTTTTTGTTGGTTTTTTTTTTAATTTCTCTTTAATTACATAGTAGGGAAGGAAGAAGCTGAGGTTGTGCATGGGACAGGGCTGGCGGTTGCCAGCTAACAGGGATGAACTTTGGAGTCATCTTTTCCTGCTGTAGAACAAAAAACAAGTCGATGATCTAACCTCCATATTAGGTCTTGCTGCCATGACTGGCAGCTTGCTGGAGCTGAGGCTTTTCTGAGATGCTGCTGCACTGAAGCTGCTGCTGAGCCATCTGGGTTGTGATGCTCATGTCCCACTGAAAGCCTGACTTGCCTTCAAGTTTAGGAATGCACTATTTTGCACCTTAAGAACTGAAGGGGACATCTCGGGCTGTTTCTGGTAGGGGCAGCTATTATTACCAGCTATTGCAGCAGAAGGTGTTGATTTATACTGCTTGGATCCCAGTGCCTTTCACCAATAGAATAGTAGTGTTCTGGATACCTGAACTTCTCACAGGAAAAGCACTGGGAGGCGGGTGTTGAAATGAAATCAGGGGATAACAAGTTTATACTTGTTTCTTCTGCTCGTTTGCCTGCGTGGCTGTGAGAGACAGGAAATTGAGT